TACACTAATCATGGAGCTGCAATTTTTGTTGGAGTCTAGATTTAATCCTACCTTCAGTTTCCCTAAACCATAACATTCAGCTGTCAAATGCCATAAATCCAGAGGGCTGTTGAGGCTGTAGGAAAGAGTGGGGCTTAACCTTGACTAGGGTAGAAGCTGAATGTACTTTTGCCTACAAACGTCAGGTGGTCATAATAATCTGGCCACTCAGTGTACAGCTTGGACCTACAGTGGCTTGCAAAAGTATTTACCCCCTTGGCATTTTTCCTATTTTGTTGCATTACCACCTGGAATTAAAATTGATTTTTATTTGGATTACATGTAATGGACACACACATAATAGTCCAAAATGGTGAAGTGAAATCAAGAAAATAACTTGTTTTACAAAATTATGAAGAAATAAAAAACAGAAAAGTGGTGCATATATATGTATTCGTCCCCTTTGCTATGAAGCCCCTACAAAAGATCTGGTTCAACCAATTACCTTCAAAAGTCACATAATTAATTAAATAAAGACCAGTTCTGAAAGGCCCCAGAATCTGCAACACCACTGAGCATGGGGCACCACCAAGCAAGCGGCACCATGAAGACCAAGGAGCTGTCCAAACAGGTCAGGGACAAAGTTGTGGAGAAGTACAGATCAGGGTTGGGCTATATCCAAAACTTTGAACATCCCATGGAGAACCACTAAATCCATTATTAAAAAATGGAAACAATATGGCACCACAACAAACCTGCTATGAGAGGGCCGCCCACCAAAACTTATGGACCAGACAAGGAGGGCAATAATCAGAGAGGCAACATAGAGACCAAATATAACCCTTAGGTTGGGTTCACACCTGGACATCACCAGGGACGTGCGTCCCGGGTCCGCACAATCGTGTGCTAGTGCACACAGCGGTTGCCACACAGCCCTATTGAATTCAATGGGGTGACATCCGCGCAGCAATCGCTAAAAACAGGTACCTTTTTTGGCGCCACACGGCGCACGGCTTTTTTTAGCCACGATCGTGTTTACTTGCATAGGCAGAAACCGCGCTATCCTCTACGCACAACTGGGGTGCCATTAAAAAATAATGGCACCCACAGCGTGAGCGCCTGCGGTGAACGAACCCGTGACAGCACGGCACTCCACGCGGTTTTGTGCACGATTGCTGCGCAGTCAGGAGTCGCCCGGGTGTGAATCTAGCCTGAAGGAGCTGCAAAGCTCTACAGCACAGATTGGAGTATCTATCCATAGCACTGCATTGGCAGCTAAAATTCACTTAAATGACTTCAGTTATCTGGAGATGTCTGTCTATAAACCATATTTTATCTAGCAAGAAAATAAAAAGAAGGTTGTCTTTTTACTTCTGTCTAAAGCAATTTGTTTGCACCAGGCATTTAATATGTTATTTTCATGGTCATGACCATATATGATAAATCCAGACTTGGTACCCTTATCTTCGATCATATCAAGCAATTGGCCTATGCTTTGGCACCTTCTGTTTTAAATTTCGAGAGAGCTATCAGAGGAAACATATGATTCAAGAAAGCCAGAAAAAAAAGGGATTGTTCAAACAGTTGTTGACATATTAAGCAACAATTTTCATGCCCCTCAATATTTTTTGGACTTAGTTACATTACTGTTTTCCTAATTGAAAACTGCACGAAGATTTCTCCATATTAAGCTCAGTCTATTAATGAGAGAGTATTAAGCAATTCATATGTCCTAGCTGCTTGAACTAAAACAGGAATATAAAGAGAAAAAAGCATTGTACACGTTAGAGATTTCACCATTCTGCCCGAGTAAAAACATAAAGGGCACAAAACGAATCCTTCTCTTTTATTAATGTTAATACTGCATCCCTTATATGTTTAGACAGTGCCTCCTGTGTCTTGTAATGTGACCAATGCGTTACATCTAATTTCAAGCTCCTCTATTTTATTTGCCAGACTTCTAGCGTTGGTGTACATACATTTAATTCCTCTCTTTTTGTGGGTTACATGGTCTCTACTACTGATCACTATTCTTGCAGAATCACTGATTGGCCAGTATGCCTATAAGTCAGCCCCCCAAGTGATGCTTGGAAAGGGGTTAAAAGGTAATGTGAAGCTCCAGTTACCAAAATGGAAGCTATGTAGTAGCATGTTGGTGACTGCATGATTAGGCTGCTTTACACTGTGCTTTCAAATGACAGGCTAATTAACCCGCCTGCCAATAAGCACAAAGCAGTAACTCAAAGATGGTTGGTAATTATCTGTTATGATTAAGGTAAACTGATGAAAAGTGAAATGTTGTTTTCTATGGATTTTTGCATTGCTCTACATTGTTTTTACTCTGAACTGTTGTGAAACTGATCCATATAGGTGATTAATGCTAGACAAGCAAAAGCATTCCAAAAGCAATTTATAGTTTAAATAAGTAAATAAAATCCATGCCAAAAAACTCTGACTCCTTTATAATGTCATTGCTCATCAAGACTTCTAGGTATTTTATTGAAATACAGAAACAAACATCCACAGGATGAAGAAAATAATTTTCTGAACATAAATACAAACAGATTTGTTGTAAAATAGATCTTACATGAGATTGAAAAAAATACAAAACTTAAAATTCTTCAAGTAAATGCATATTTGTACATTCTGTATAAACCTTCTACAGACCTCTTACATATCCTGAACATAATCAGTGTTGGGCTGTTCAGAGAGACATCTGCCCATGCTCAAACCCACAAAGATCCACTGCAAACAGCTGTGCCTGTGGATCAAGGGTAAATGTGGCGAATGTGTACTTATCACATTGATTACTTTTTCCATTAAAAAGGGAATGATCAGTGCCTGTGTCACTAAGATTTGCTAGGTTGGAGCTATTTTTGGGTGTCCTAGCAAGTGCTTTTGATTGTCAGAAGTCTGGACTGACAGTGCTTGATTTAGGCTGCTTTTAGCTACCCTACAGGCACCTACAGACATGGAAAACATCAATCATGTCTAGGTGTTAATACACCAAGGTGTCCCATGGTCCAGCTTGCTTGGGAGACAATCGATTGACCAGAACCAGTTTTCTCCAGCCAATCAAGTATTCTGCCATGACAAATGGCGCTTCTACTCCCTGCTTGGGCACAAACATACAAGTAACATACAAGTAATAGAAAGTAATAGAAAGTTTAATGTCTGTAGAATCATTGTTTGTTAGAATGTTCCTTTATTAGTCAGTTCATGCATGCATGGCTTCTATGGTATGTTTGTAGGCACCCTAAAGACCCACTCTGGGCTGCTGATAAACTTACCAATACAGTGGGGTCTACTCCCGCACTGCATGGTCAAATGCTTGCATGGCTGGGATGGGGGGGGGGGGGGGGGGGGGAGAGAAACTGTCACAGGC